GGATTTGAACTCTCACCTCTTATTCGCTGGAAACTATGTACAATTTGCTGTTGTTTCAGTTGTATGTGGATTTTTAATGCCAATTTTTATCTTGATTCAGATTTGATACAATCTCTTACAGTACGTCTAAAATGAAAAATGGAATCGCTAAAGTCAGGTTGCGAATGCCTGCACCAAATTGTTAGGAAGGTTTAACGGATCAGCATCCCGTTTTTTTGTTTTTTTTATGCAATATTGGAAAACCTTCTTTAGCACTCGTTGTTTCCACGGCCGGAAAATGAATGGCAGGATAACGTACGAGGTACAATGACACCGCACATAAAATAGCTATCAGCGAAGAACGGGAAAAGATAGAAAGACTTAGATAAAGGAGGAATGGAAGGAGCTATGACAGTGATACCGGCACGTGGAAGCAGTAAAACCATCGTGTTATCGACCTCATGGCGATCCAACTCTTTCCTTTTGTGCTTTTTCGTTACCGTATTCTTTAATATGGCTTTTGAGGAAAATGAGGATGAAAAAGAAAATTAACTAAGCGGAGGCAACATATTTCTCTAAGATGGAGACGGGTTTGTTCAAGACATGATTTAATAAGTTCTGAACATTTTTAAAAATGTTCATTAAGATACCTTTGCAATTAGAAATTCAATGACTGGTGTAAGTATTAGATTTTTTCAAGAATGAAAGAGATAGATACATATTAATTTTAAAAAATTACTTTATTACCATCCACATGTGATGCCCATCCCCCGCAAGGTTCGATGGAGCATAAACCTCTCCCTCCTTCCAAGATATTTGCTTGCCTCTTCTTATAACCAGTGTAAACTAAAGTTGAATTTTAAAAACTGTAGATCATATAAAATTACAATTGCTTTGGTCTTTTCCATTTTTCCCATGTTCTCTGGTTTGATACTCTGCTCTATTCTTCCACTTCCTAATTCTATTATGGACAGTTTACAGCTTTCTGAAATATTAGAGTTGGCCATCAATCCTTGCAATCCTACCGCATACTTGTCAATATATCATTGGACAAAATATAAATACCATTTTTACTTTCCTACCTATACTAGGTAAGGAAAGTATTGCAATCGGGTCAAATTTCCGACATCCGGTTTTCGACGGATCTATACGTTTCACAGCCCCCTGAGTCCGATAAACACGCCGTTTAACCTACTGTTTAAAAGGTAATAAAATTCCCTACAAAGCCATATAAATTGTTCATTTTGGACAATTATTAGGGAAGTTACAGCTATTCAATTTCCAATGAAAGATTACGAGTTTACTGTAGCCGCATCACACAATCTTCACTATTTCCTCTACTTTTAACAGAAATTATTGTTTGACAATACTAAGCTATAGCAAAAAGTTTTTGATCAATAATATTAGTGAGTATCGAAATTTTTACACTGATCTACCTAAAGCCGGTTTCATTGCCTTATCTAATAAATTGTACTTAAATCTTTTGTTTGATCAATTTTCAGAAAAATAAATGTAGTTCAATTCTTTTTTGTTTCTACATGAACATATGTAAAGATATAAAACCTTTTCTGAAATAGGTAGGAAAGTCGTGTGAGTGGACACCCAGATTTTTTATCTGAAAAATTACTTTAGGCAAATTACCAGGTTGCCAAAAATACCTTAAAATCGTTCGTGCTTCAGATAATATGCGTCCTGCCATCCCTAATATTTCGGTCAAAGGATTTACTTTAAAAGAGCTTAAGCAAACATATTCATCAATGAATGCATTTTCACGAAGTTGATCCGTTTCTTGTGCTGTCGATATTTTTTTTTACGTAGTATATGTTACACGTTGCTAATCAAAAGTACTCATTTTATCTTTTGAAATCGCCATTTACAACAAAAAATAAATAAATAAAAATGACCTATGTGATATATATCATTTTAACTGTCGTGGGTTCTTTTAATATTTTGAAACTCTCGTAAAAAGCATTATAATAATATTAAAAATGATGTAATTATTTTTAGTTATAATCTTTATGGAATATTTTTTAGTAAAAAGCAGAACCGGTACCAGGACTTCAGCCACATCGTGGCAAGCTTAATTTTGTATTTTGTCACCCTTTCTTTTACACTTCCCTCTCCTATATGAGTCAACAGTTGAATAACAGATATTTTGGTAATACGTTTCTAAATAAATATCGTATTATCAACTATTTCTACAGAATATATGTCAAAACGATAAAAAAACAATAAAATATTTTCATTAAATTAAAATTAAATTTCCCTGTAGAATTAGCCACCTCCTATAGAAATAGGAAGAAGTTCTGTTCAATTTGATAAATGATATTTTTAATGTAATGATATATACATTAATGGGCATAAGGGAATGAAGGGTACTTTTATTTAACAAGATAGACATTCCATAATCATACACATAATGATTGAAATACCCTAATTATGTCGTGGACGGATACACTCGCCTGTCACTGCTCGAGGACGGGCACTGTTTGGATAGAGTGGTGGACTCATCGAATTCTCGGATCCAGGTTGTGTCAGCTACCTGGTTCAGGAACTACCGCTTCTGAAAAACAAGTCCGCCGGCAGTCATCTAGTCGTCTGACCTCTTTCGACGAACTATTGCGATTAATGTTCATGATATAAAGGTTTACCACACAAAGAATCATAGGCGTAGTAGCGTCAGAAAATACAGGAATACTCGCAACTTAACATTAAGTCATCAATCCATCATCGTTGGTGGAGAAGGTTCCAGTACTTTCGGCTAAAAAGACTAATATTAATATGAGATAAGTAGATGGAATAAATATGCAGAAGTCTTTAAATTACTGTAAGAAAAAAATAACAGTTAGTTAATTATTATAAACCCCTTAGAATTGCAGACAGCGCAACCACTCAAGCAAGGGTGCAAACCCTCCATTATGGTTCTCCACTTTCAGCTTACCAACCTGCCTCCAAATGGGTCTAATTAGTCCCAAGTTCCCATTTCCATGCAACCATTCGATTTCATCAATACTACTTAGTGTTTTACGTGAGTAGTAAAGTTAGGGAAACATCTTTTCTATTAAATAAATTATTTAATTACCATTACCTTTAGGCTTCCATAACATCCTCAGATGATATAGTGGTTTTATAAGGGTTGAAAACTACTTTAATACTAATATAAGCCATGTTAACTTCTAAATTAAATAGTACTGAAACCAAGACCTTTCTTGGGTTGTTGCTACACAGGTTTTTTTTTTATTATTATTAGGGATAGCTTCCCTTAAAACCACTCATCATTTGAAGTTGGTCTAACAGCAGAAGCATGATGAGAATATACTTTTGAGAGGTGAAGCATTTTTTAGTTCCACAAATTCCTAATAAATTATGTACTTTTAACTTAGTGCATAAATATACTACTGATACTTTGACGAAAATAATTATTTGGCACTTGGAGCTGTCAATTTAGTTGGTATGTTCAGTGAATGCAGAACCATAGAAAGAAATCAAGAGCCCCAGGAATAATTTCCCATCCAATTGTAGCCTCTTATCAAGTATGAACAAATATATTATGTAGAGATATTACATAATGTATGTAATGTTATTTATACTTTATTTTATTGTACATTAAGAAGTTGAAAAACAAAATCTTGTAGTCCAGCCCCTGGGACTGAGAACCCAAACCTCCTCGGTGCTAAGTGAATGATGTTCCAAAAGGGCAAGTCACTCCCTTTATTATAAATTATAGGGGGAAAAACCTTATACTTTACATCAGAACATAGAGTATTTGTGCAACAATAACTCATTTAGGATTTGATCTTGAGGGACTTCAGCCAGAAAGCCTCTTTTTTTATTAAATATAATTATTACTTTGGAAAAAAAGAAAAAACCAACTACCTATACAAAATGGTGTTTAAGTGATTCTTGGAGTCTTATTAAATGTTCTTACATGAACAGTAATACTTTTAATATAGATAATATTTAGTAGAGATAATTTTTTAATATATTTTTCATAAGACATGGTAATATTTTACCATTTTGGGGAGCTTCAGCAAGAAAGTTCCCCTTTACCCCGTAGATCAACCTGTGTAACTCACCACCACTTAGTGCTAAAAAAGTCATGTCTTCTCCTTTAAATATATTTGGTTCTGGTTTCAGATGGATGTAAACGTTAAGGTATTCTAATTTAAGAAACTGTTTCTTTCTTTCAATTTCATTTCTTTCTTAATAATTTAAGGAGAGCTGGTCCATCAATATCCAAGACTATATATAATAAAATATAAGTCTATATAATAAAACTGTTTAAAAAAAAAAATGACAAATCTGTTTTAGTTATTTGCTTAGAACATAGCGTCACCTAAATATGTAAATAGCAAAATGTAATTTATTATGATCACTGAAATACCATAAGGGATAAATTCACAATGAAGCCTCATTGTCAAAATAAGTTTTTAAAATTTATTCCAAACAAACTAGGCACTGTTGAATCTATTTCACAAATTTTCTACTTTGTTTTACCCTTTACTGTACTTAAGTTGTAACTTTTGGGTACCCAATGGCCCAACAATGTGCTTTTTGTGGACCCAGTTTTAGGTCAGTAAGTTTGATTTGATTTTTTTTTCCTGTAGGAATTACATACTTCATAGTTCTTGGACTAGCCTTCTCCACCTTTTCTTATTTTGGACAACTGCTTTCCAGTTTCATGCATGTTGTTTTGCAACATCTTTGTTCATAAGAAAATCTCAACTTACATTACCAAATACATATCCAGCATTAGTTGCTTCCCCTTACATTATATATATAGATTTGAAAAAAATTTAATATTTACCACAATAGAATAACATTAAAGTAACCTGAAATTATATTTCTAGCCTCCTGAAGAACAATCGAGTATACTTTAATCACAAGGTTAGCCCTAACCATTATAAACATAAGTTAGATAAGTTAATTTGGGAAAAATAAATTAATATTCTAATAAAAGTTAATTTATTATTTGTATCAGATAAATTATATTATCATTAATTAGAGGAAGAGCTTAATAATCATTCATCAACAGGAAGAGCTTTGGCATGATGGTTCCGCAGCAGATGATCTGAAAATTCTGCGTACGGTGCCCTAGATAATGGCACATCACGCCAGAGATCTGGCGTCAGATAACCATATGTTTTTGATATGGCTTCAAACGTAGCTTTTGCTAGAAACAAAAAAAAAAAATTAATATACTATCCTTTTGGATTTTTCCTGTATTTTCAGTGCAAACTTGATTTGCAAATAATTTTAATATTCTATAATATTTATCCCATAAATCAACAATGCAATGATTAACAAATTCTTTAAAACTTATAAAGTTATATATAATGTTCTTTACATAGTAAGAAGACAATGAATAAAAGAAAAATAACAATGAAGTCTTACATATTCTTTTACCGAAAAATAGTTTTACAATAAATTTCTGACAACTGAGCTCAGACCCTTTTAACCATCCTAGGAAATCAACTCCTCTGTGGAAACCGCAAAAGTTTGAACAAAATTATCATCATAGTTCAGACGATGATTAAAATAATTTGAAAAAGTAAAGAATTCACAATCTCAATATAATAAAAGTCAACTTCTCACCAGCTACCAGAAGTCCAGGACTGATATAAAAAGTATCATGCAACTTCTCATAAAAGGGAATTTTAAAAATAAAAGTTAAATTGAATGATAGAAACAGTCTTTAGATAAAAGATGCTTGAGGATCTCTTTTAACAAATAATTCAATAATAATTTGTGAAAAAGGTTGAGTTCAGATGCTTCTAAACCATCCTGAGAAAAAAAAATCATATAGTAGAAACCACAAAAGTTAAAATTTAACTCTCATTACTGTTCAAAAAATCTGTAACCTATTTGTACACAAAAGAAAAATGAATATAATATAAAAAGCTTATCTGCAGTTTAACGATTATAGAATTTTTTTTTTTACTTTAAGTAATTTCTATTCTTTTGACCATGAGGAAAAGTTATTCATAATATATAATTTTACTTATGTAATATTTTAAATAACAGAATGCATGTAAGTTGTGATCCTTCTACTATTATGAATCCATGGTTGTTGCTCTTTAGATCGAAATGGCAGATTTGATTTTGATGAAACATTTTTCTGTTGTTCCATTAGGTTTTACAACATTCTTAACCTTTTTGCTGGCAATCATCAGGGTGAATTTAAAAATATACCACAGATACAAGCTTTGACACTCGTATGAATGTTATAAGCTTAACTTTGTAGGATTAATTACTTATCGTTGAGTGTTACGGTCTTACAAGGCCTTCTCTTGGCCAGTCATCCCTATATTTTGCTCATGTCCTCCATCTCCTTAGTCCAAGGAACTTGAGGTCTTCCTCGACGCTATCCAATAATCTCACTCTTGGTCTTCTTCTATATTGTTCCCTCCGGTTTTTCCATACAACAGGCGTTTTGATATCCTAGTTTCTAACATCTGAGATATTTGAGGTGGGTTTTTTCACAAATGATACCAGGGCTGGTCTCCCATACATTGCATGAAACACAATTCTTCCTTGATTTCCAGATTGGCCTATGTATCCTGCAGAGTATTTTCCGTTCACAGACATTGAGTATCTCAGACTTCGTAGGATTATAATCGAGTAATTTCACTTTACTTTTCATGGAGTTTATACTACCGAAAATAAGGATATAAAATAAATCAAAATCAAGCAGTGAACTGTACTTACCAAAGTTTCCAAGAGTGCCAGTTGATCCTGTGGCAGATGTATAACAATCTTCAATACCTGCCATCTGCAGAAGCTTCTTGGGTACAGGGGCACCTACAATGCCAGTTCCTCTGGGTGCTGGAATAAGACGCACTTGCACACTACCACACTTTCCTGTAACCTGGACAAAGAATACTTAAGTTGCAAACAATTCAAGTTTAACTAATACAAAATATGATTCTTTTGATTTATAAAGGCTTTCCAGATATACTTTAACCACTTTTCTTTATATATTTCATACAATAATTAGGTAGTGGATTGATTTTTCATCACTAAAGAATTGAAAAATCTAATGCTATAATGATATAAAATTTATAAGTACATTATTTAAAATCTCCTTCAGTGAATGATCGGAACAAAAAACATAATTTTATCCAGAGATTAAGTGTAAAGCAACAGTAAATGAACTTCTGATTGAATTTATTTAAGTTTCAAAATACAAATTACATTTTGATATAATTGTAAGGTTTATACAGATTAAATAGCCAATTGAATAATTTACCTTGCAAGGTACAGTGTGGGGCTTTCCGATCTTGTTACCCCAATAACCACGCCTGACTGGAACGACAGAGAGCTTAGCAAGGATAATAGCACCACGGATAGCAGTAGCCACTTCTTTGGAACATTTCACGCCCAAACCAATGTGTCCATTGTGGTCTCCAATAGCTGTCACAATAACAAAAATCAAAAAACAATATTGAATTAACTAAAACCTAAAATGACAATAAAATAATACTAACCAACAAAGGCCTTAAATCTTGTTCTCTGCCCGGCTCTAGTCTGTTTTTGAACTGGCATGATCTTCAGAACTTCATCTTTCAATACAGGACCAATAAAAAAATCAATAATTTCAAATTCCTAAAACATTTATCTTAAATTAATTCATTAGAAAAATACAAATAATAAGATAGATAATTATCCAGTAAATTGATAGTTCTTGGGGGTGGATATCACAACTAGGTAACTGCAATTCAGCTTTGTCGATAAAAACCCAATTTAACGTTTTTTCATGATTTTGGAAGAATGTGAGACTTGAGTTTTCATTGTATTTTTGCAATCATTTCTAAATTTTATATAATTAGAAGTTTCTATAGTTCTAAAATGGAATTTTGTCCTGGTGATCAATTCACCTATTTTGGAAAATTTGAAGTAGTATCTATAAATCGCCAGCAATAGTAACTTGATTATTGCCCTTTTTTTAATCGAACCTTTCTCTACAATTTCTCCTCTTTTGCAAAATTTGTAGTTACCTAGCATTCACCGCAAGAATTGATTCTAACCTTGATGGGTAAAGAGAATAGATATATATCTTCCAGGGTTCTTATTTTTCCATCCTTGACCAGACGACCTAACTTTGTAACTGGCTGCCATTCCTTCTCTCCTTCCTTACCACGTCCTCTGCCTCTGCCACGCCCACGTCCTCTTCCTCGTGGTCCACCACGTCCACTGCCACGACTTCCGAAACCTCCTCTAAAGCCTCCTCGGCCACCGGCTGGAGCTACATCCGCCATATTTCTGAAAAATAATAACTGTTTACAAACCAGGAACACAACACAAATACAGTCAAACTTTTTTATAATTTGCAATAACTTTATTTAAAATTTTTTAGGTGGTTACACTCTTGCCTAGGTATTTAATATTTAAGTATAATTTTTGTCTCAATATTTTTCTGAGAATTTAAACAAGATCAGATGAACAATAACCCTGCCTTGTAGGGCAATAAGCAATAAAGTAAAAGTGTTTTAGATGCTTGCAAAAATTTAATGACTGCTGAACTCTTAAAATTATTTGCTGATGGCTTTAAATGACTGCTGAATTATTTGCTTAAAAATAAAAGTTTTAGATTAAAATTAAAACAAAAAAAATAGAAGCTTGAATATAACTGTACTGCCTTATTCTATTATCGTTGCACCTTAATATATGTTTTATTCCAGAATCCTATTTTGGCATCACAGATATTTATTGTTTAGATATAATTCTAATATAACTAGCAGCTTTAACAAATATTTTATATAGATTTATTTTTGTTGAAGTTGTTTCAATTAAAATTTTTTGACTAGAACTGGTTAGAATTGAGAGCTCATAAATAAAAAATATAGAACTACATTTGAATCCGCAAAAGTTGCATAACATGAGTAGAAAAAGGCCTTTCTTTTAATCTGAGTTCTCAATTGAAACCATTTATTACTTTGAGGGGAGCATGGTTGCTTAGTGAGCAAGGTGCTATGTTCCTATCTCCTGACCCTAGGTTCAAGTCCAGTTGTGAGAGATAATTATCAATTCTATAAAAATAGAGGATATTAGGATTGAGGATGGAGTCAGGCGACTATCCTGAGCAACACCCAGCCTCTATAAAGTGGGAGCTCATAACCTTGTGAAAAGGCCTGATTTTGGCCATGCTGTTTGCACAATTCTTTGCCTAGAATTAGTATTTACCTAGAAAGTACTGAATCCAAGATCCATTATGGATTGTACTTGCATAGTTTTGATTATTTAACTAGCTACTGGGTAAAATCAATGTGAAGGCAACAATAAAAAACAAAACACCTTTTGCTAGAAACATGGCATTAAAAACTGAGCAGAAATCAAATCAACATTCAGAATTTTTCATGGATCATTACATAGTCATCAATATTTTTTTCTGATAAATATTCATGATCCAAGTAGGACTAAACATCAGATATATAAATATTTAATGAGAATAACAAATTCATGTACATAAAAAACTTGAATATACGATAAAAAAAAGCTGAGAAGAATGCATGTTTAAAAAACACAACAAGAATTGAAGGACATTACTTTTTCCAGTAAGTGTAAAGAAAATATCTTAACATGGCAACTACTTAAAAAATATGCGGCCATTATACCAGGACATCCCATAACATCTAACATTTTCCTCTAAATCCAAACAAAGGCTTGGCGGAAATTACATACTTGATTGGCGGTTTGTTGGTTTATAATAAAAAAAATATGAAACAGCAAATGTTCGTTGCACGCAGAGTGAAGCCGCTGTTCCAGAAATTTGTGCTTTTGTCATCTCACCACAATGGCTGCGAATGGCGTGTGGAAAGATTTGCTTACCCACACAAAAGTTATGTCCACAATGGAAGAGAAATTAATTATAATATTACAGGACAAAATTGTATTCAATATAATTATTCTAATGTCAATTATAATTTTAGATAGATTTAATGAATAATCTATATTGATTATTCAAGACAGTGTATTCTCTAATTATGAAATCTAAACGTGTTCAATTCAATTAATAGCCTATATTTCACATTCAAAAATCGTCGAATATATGCACAAAAGGAATTTAGCGATGTGGTACGAATATTTGAAATAATTCATCAAAAATTGAACATGACTCCTAAATTTAATGAACACGTGGTCCTGAGTTGTGAATATTGTCTCCGCATTTACCAGCTATTGTAATAAAATAAACAGTCTTTAATTGCAAAAAAAAAATACATATATTTAGACAACTCGCTCAAATCTAACATGCCTACATATTAATTTTAAAAATAAAAATAATAACAATAATAGTAACGATCCTTACCTCAACCAGGTCCTAGCTAGTCTGAAAGGGCCCAAGTTATAATGCTGGGCCCACACTACAGGCAAACTCGGTTTGGCAAAAATTCTGGCAAACTTGCGGCAAATTAAGGAACTAATCGAAGCTCGTTTACTTTGGAAAATGTGCTCAGTAGGACGGAGTCAGTCCAAGCAAACAACATGGACCTTCTAGAATTGCCGTGGGATTGACTGCTACTTTTGTTTATGTCTTCTATAAAAAAAAAGCAAGCAGAAGAAAATAAGTGGAGAAAACAAAGAAGATGACAGATGTCGAAAATTCATGAGAATCATACAAGGTAAGCATAAAATTGATCTTAGTTTTCCTTATTAATATCAGTTGTTTATTTCTTTGCCATGACATTTCTCTATAAATACATTTTACCTTGTTTTTCAAAATATATATCTGCAAAGCCAATTAACGCGATTTTATGTAATTTTTCACACACAATTGCTAGGATTGTCAATTTCCTTCCGTTAAACATAGTCAATTATTAATTCTCTTACCAGTGAAAATTCTTGATATATCCTCCGTTTACTGCATTCAATTCATGCACTATGTGCATATTTGATATAGGTTAACTTTCAAGATTTTTTTTTATGAATTTTGACTTTATTTACCTATACAAAAACACTGTATGGGCATGGAAATGAAATAAACCCTTTTATACATCAATTATACTTACAAGAAGCTCACAATTTTCTGATTTTATGAAGAAAAAGATATTCAAAGTTCTTGATTACTTAAGAAATAATGAATTTTCACTTAATTACTTTGCAATGAGCTGCCAATATTTTTTCAATTGTTTGATTCAAGGAATGCATTTAAAAATTTTTTTCTCCATTTATTTATGAGGTTCTTTGATTTACTGTATAGACATTTTTTACAATTTAGTGAATGGTTAATTCCTCTTTTACTAAATTTGCAAGTGTTACTTTATTATTTTTCAATTCAAACAATCAATTAGTAAGTTAATTTAGTTCTATTTTCTTTTCTAACGTCCAACTTAAGTACATCATCGCAAAGGAAACAATGGACAAGGGGTGTTAATTATTTAGCATTTAACTGGTTATTTATATTTAGTTAATTGGAAGTTCATTGTTAGTTTTCGATATCCCTCCTAGTCTATGATTAAGTTATTTTTTTTATATTTTTTCATATAGCAAAACAATGTACATAGGGTAATGACTATAAAGAGAAAATGCCCTATGATGCCTTAGCCATTCTGTCTTGTTTCCTTAACCCTCCACATTATCTGTTAACCCGTAACAAATTATTTATTTTCTTCTGTTATGAATTTGATTCCATTGTTTCCTATTTCAATTAAGGATTAGTTTTGTTTTTTCCTCGACTTTCATTATTAATGTAAATGTTACATAGCTTTTATTTGTTCTCTGTAAAATTGAGTCTTAAAGTGTGCCAGACATAGACCCTCCTCTAAAAATGAAAATCTCAACTAAATGTGTTATAAGCATCGCAAAAAATAGAAGGGAAAAAATTATAACGAAATTAAAAAATCTGATTTTTTAGTTGGATGATACCAGGCCTAAGATTGGTAATTTTTTTTTTTTTTTTCAGCGTTCCCCTACTGTTGAGTGTGAACATGAAGGACAGGCTGAAGTACTCGATGATTCATCTTTATTGAACAACGGTATGTATTGCAGCCTAAGACAAAAAAAAAAAAAAATCAAACAAAGGCGAAGAGGAAATTATGGCCCCGTTCAATAAACTCGTCCAAATAATAGAAAAACAGTGCGGAAATACAAATAAACCCAAAACAATTGCACAGAATTATGGGTCCATGTTAGGAGAAGGGTTGGTCCAATTACCTCAACCAGAACAAAGTTTGTGCATATGTGAAATGGAACGAGGCTTGGGGAAGATGTGTGCGGACTTTGTGGAATAAAAATATTTGTAATATTGAAACCAGCACTAGTTTAAACAAAATGGCAGCCTGTGCCCGTGGTATTGCGAATGCACCATAAAGAGTGATTTTCCAGCAACATGCTGGGCCATTTAAAAAATATAAAACAGACACTTTTTCTGTAAATACTAGTAAGGTTGTACCTCCAAAAAGACATATTATTAATAAAGCCTTTTTAAAGGTGCTTTAAGAAGATGGAGAATAATCCAGAAAATTATTAGAATACTCATTAGTTATTATTTAGCTTTTTCTGATGCATTTAAAAATGCTTTATTTGTAATGTTAAATTCCTTTATTCATGATGTTGTATAAACAAAAACATATCTTGTATTCATTAATTTGTATGTTGTATTAATTCATTTATATTTTGTATTGTATATTTGAACCTAAAAATATTTATTTGTTCATTAATAGAATTTCTATTTTGTATAATAATAACAAAGTTAAGATATAAAGATTAATTTTCTAGCAACATTATAATTATTAAATTTAGTTTATGTATATGATTTATTATATTTTGCAAATATATGGGTTGTATGTATTATAAATAACATCTTCCATCATTTCCCTTCAAACATATATATTACAACTTGTGTATAAATAACCAATAAATGATAGGTATATGTCAAATTTCTAAAAATAAAAATGCGAATAACAAAACAAAGGCAGTCTCACTATGTGGTTAAAATTTCCACACTTAGACTTAATTGTTATTTTAATCAGACAATGTTTTATACAAATATAACTTTTTTAGGCTTAGGATGGTTGATTATTTATTGAATTAGGCATCAAAATTGGCACTGTATGATGTTAGTCTCTAACCATGATACAGTCATTTAATTACAAATATAGTATTGTATTATGGTGTTTCAATATGTGCTTAAAATGTTATTAATGCAACTTTATTAGAGTCTAGGTTAGTAATTTTGTGAGTTGTTCGGTTTTATTTGAACTGAAGATATAGAAAGAAAAAAAAAACAGATGTAGATTAACACTAATTTCTGTGAAAGGTAAAATTAGTTGACAGACCGATACAAATATGGGCACTAAAAAAGAAACTGATAAACTGATCATTTTAAAAAAATAATGAATACTTGTTTTCAACTCTCTAAAGTAGAATAAGCATAGGTTAAAAAATAAATAAATTTTGAACTTTTTTTTTTATATTGACTAAATAATATGTGAAAATGGATATTATTTTATTTTAATGTAATGCGAAGTATTGGGATCATTAAAAATTTCAACTCTGAGTTTTCAAAAACATAAAAAAACTTTTTGCTTAATGGTTTTTTTGTGTAAATGCAGAATCTAGCTAAAAAATGAAAAGTTCAGTGATTATACTTATTTATTAAGGTAGATAGGAGTATGGCAGCGATGTTAGGGCAAATTGTTGGCTGAAATAATATTACCAAAAGTGGAACTTGACATAATTGGTTTTATAAAGTATTTCAATTCAACTATAAAACGGAAATAAACAATGAAGAGTAGTATTAAATGAAGAAGAAACATAAAATGGAATAATTATATATGAATAATAAAATGTAATTAGATGAATT